GTTTTTGTTCTTTTCTGCTCTTTTTTGGGGCTGAATTCGATTAGAACCGTTAACCGCTCTCGGCGCCAAGCGAACGCCAACTGAACTTATCAGTCACTCAACTGAACAGCGACCGACGCTGCCACGCTGCCACGCTGCCACGCTGCCGCCGAAACTTGCCATATCATCATATACATATATGTATATATGTATGAATGTGTGTGTGTGTGTGAGGGTGTTGCGACGACAACGAGCATGCAACAACAACATGTTGGACCTTATACATACGAACAAACCGAGGAGTTCCAGAACAGTTCCACACAGACACAGACACAGACACATACACATATACAGCCATACAAACGAAGCGAAAGAGACAGACAGATATATGGTATATTATTATTGGGTAAGGTAAGTTGTTCCCATCGAACAAATCTGTTAGCCCCTCTCTTTGTCTCACTCCGTGCCTGCACCATCCCGACTTCCTGAGTCCTGTGTAAAAGCAGTACAATTTCTCTTCCAGATATCGTATTGCATTGACTCACCTTTTATTAATAAGCCTTCGACTCCCCAAGCCAGCGCCAGAGAGAGCGAGAGAGAGAGGGGCAGACAGAGACGCACAAATACAACGGAAGCACCATTGTTGACTGCACATTTCGCCTATTGCTTCTCCTTCGGATTCTCCGGTTGCTTCTTCACGTTCGCCTTCGCCTTCTGCTTCTCCTTCTCCTTTACCTTCGGCATCTGCATCTATGTATCTGCTTCGACCGGCCACAGAAGTAACAAATTGCGTATGAGAACCGAGCTAATTGATACCCTTGCAGATTCCAGCCTCAGCCTGTCTCAGTGAAAGACAGCGCTGATGGCTATGATCCCTGCTATACCGGAGAAGGTACTATCACTGAGTCTGCTCGCTTGGGAAAGTAATAAGGGACTTTCTTGCATAATTGTCCGAACCTGTATCTCGAACTGAAGTCGATTGAACTGGAGTTAGGGAACTCCTACCACGCAGCCAGATTCTGAGACAAATGCCAGCCCCTTGATTGACTTTCACCCAGAACCAGGTACCGCAATAAGAGTTAGGAAATTCAAATTTTAGCTAATTAACTCAATGTGAAGGAAACATAATGTGGCAACACGGAATATGACAGAATTCATACATATTTTTGTTCTGCGAATGCAAGGTAGTCACAGAGTGCTGAAATATTCGGAAAATATTCTGGAAGAGTTCGGTTTGATGCGAAACCAAATATATTCTGTTACTTCGGACAATGGTCGTAGCATTATAAAGTCTATTGAGATCATGAACATAGACTCCGATGATAGCTGCGGTAATGACTAAGGAGGGTTTGATGCCTCAGATGAATATTTACTCCATTGCATCGCTTAAATGTGGCGCTCACAAACTTCAACTTGCAGTTGAGGATTTTTTTTGTAACCTTGCTAATGATGCTCTCATTAAAAAATGTCGCAAACCGGTTAAGGCATTGAGGACTCCCACTTACCAGTGGGTTTATTGTGAATCTTTAAAGTTTCCCTTCCCTAATACCTCAGGCTCTTATTCCTAAGTTCCAACAAAGTGGAATTCGACCCTCGAGATGCTTGAACCTTTTTGCTTTTTTCTGTTAAAAAACTTCTGTGAGAATCACGTTAATGAAATGCTTAAATTGTCTCAAGCAGATTGTAGTGAGCCAAATGAAGTGAACCACCCAAATGCTGCAGATAGAGCGCCTATATCTAGGCGATTTTCAGAAGATATGACAGTTGAAGCCATGAAAATATCACAGAGTGAGGAATTTAAAGAAGCTATCGGAAAGAGTTCTGAACCAAAATTCAATTATTTTGTATTATAACGTGTAATATGCACTCGTTTCATTCTGTAAGTAATTTGATAAATATAGTTTTCATTGCTGATAGATCGTCCTGTCCCTCTATCAGTAGAAACAAGTTCAGATTCGTCACAGCCACCTGCACATGTTTCGGAGCTGCCGTCTATAAGCCCGTATTTAAACCACTTGGTCGTTACTCAATGACTTCCTTAATTCCATTGCTGTTGTTTCAGGCAATGAGGCAATAAATGAGATCAACAATTACCGTCCAAAGCCAATTGATATCAATCAAAATATGAGGAATAAAGGGGAGGAGAACAAGTTCATGTACCCCCGTTTAAATCAATTGGCAAAGGTTTTTCATGGTGTTCCTGCCACAGAAGTTAGCGTCGAAAGGGCGCTGACCGAAACAGAGATATAGACTCCACTCTACTCCTACAGGATCTTACATATGGAATGTTACTCTTACAATTAATCAAATTTGAAGCAAAAGAATAACCCTTGGCGATTTCTTGGACTATCTTAAATTATAAAACCTTTTTTCTTCCCAACACTTGCTTTATAGAATTTTGTGATTGCGTCTCTTTAAGGCCTCGGAAATAATTTGTTCTCTGCGTTGCAGGCTTGTTGTCGACATCATTATACCTTCTGTAATGGATACGAGTAGAACAACAACAAAAAATCCCCTGGAAAATGCATTTTGTCGAAGCGACAGGCCGGACCAGGGCAGGTTGGGGCACGGCGGTGAAGGGCGGGGGACAGACGAGCAGGCCAAAGTGCAGCGTAAGCTCTGTTGCTGGTGGTCTGCTCGTGAGTGGCTCGAGCATGCTAATGGGGTCGCCACGCCCACAGCCGCCCACCCGCACATTTACGATTCTTGTGGATAAATGTAAAATTGATCAATTTTGGTGTCAGGTCTTACAGCACTTTCGCCCACCGACCACCGACCACCGCCCACCGCCCACCGCCCCCCGCCCAGCGGAAAAAGTGTGTGTGTGTAATGTGTGCAAGAGAAAGGGAAAGAGTGAGAGTGGGTGGGAAAAAAGTGGGCTAAGAGACTGTACACGTGTGTCTGTCTAGGCATCCGCTTGTTTCGGCCATCGCTCAAAAGCCTCTAATTGTTGTCGGCCAGTCATAATGCAATTGATGGGTTGACTGCCACTGCCACTGCCAGAGAGAGAGCTGCCTGTGTGTGTGTGTGTGTGTGTGTGTGTGGCGGCGGTTGCTGCAGCCATCCAGTTGATAAGCTGGTGGCTGAATGTGGCGACTATGGCTGGACGTGGCCCGATACGAGCCTTCAGGAAAATGACACAGCACAAGGGGCGGGCATTTTGTGGTTTGATTTCTATGCCAAATAGTCCCCCAGACTTTTAGAGTCCTGCTTGAATCCACAGTATTCATAAAATCACAGTTAATGCGTTCGATCAGTCAGATCCGAATCACCCCGAACCACTGAAAACCGAATCCGAGCACTGCCGATTTCGATAACAGGTCAAATCTGTCAAATCCTCTTTAAGTTGCTTTCTCGTTCTCTCTACCATAAAACAGAGAGTGGGAGAGAAAAAAGCCGAATCTTTCGGATCGAACACGATTCAAAGCGATTCGAACGGATCGAACCTCTTCATGCTAGGGCCAAGTAAACATACATACCTATGTACATACTTGAGTTCGGATCACATTACTCTAATGGATACCATGAATTTTTGTGAGGAAATATTTATGGTTTATAAAGGAAAAGGTAACTGGGAATTTTCATCGCCATCTTTTTAAAGCAATGGGACATTGAAGGGACCTTTAAATGATATGTAGGTCCCTCCCTGTCACGATTATTGTACGAGTATGTACTTATGTAAACGCTACCAGAATTCATTGGAGCGTTCGTCACATTGCACTCGACTGTGAGCGCGCTACATTCGAATGGAAAATTTTGGCAAAGCGTGTCAGCGTCACCCTGCAGGGATTTTGCACGCGCATCTCGAAATGCTGGCATGATCGACAATGTCTGTGCCTGACAGCCAGGAGATGGGAAATGTCACAGTGAACGTCACAGCATTCACATGCCAGAAAGTTTTTCTGTCACCCACACTGGGCTCCTTGGGGCAGAGGCAACACTCCACAACAGCCGCAACGCACATATGTCTGTGTATCGGAGCCCATTTACAAGGACAGGCTACCCAGGAGGAGAAGTAATTTTTTCTTTCGGTAATTCATTTTGTTTTGCACGGTGTGCGGTGCTCGGAGACTACGCGTTCAAAAAATATCAAAAAGCCGTTAGCTGCGGTGGCAGTCAGTTATCCATCGATCTGCGCATGACGAACAGTAAATGTGCGCTCCTGCACCGCACCACCGCACCCTTCTGGCCTGTTTATCAACACTTGGAGCTGTTAACCAACACTGCGTGCTGGCCGACCCACTTCCGAGAATTAGAACCGAGAAACAGTGCTCAAGTACCGTTCACCCGGTGAAGACCTGTACAGTCCACGAAATAAATAATAAATCAGTAAGTTGTGCCAGTAAATAAGCATAGATCAACGACTGTACTTTCTCGCACCAAATAAATAAGTGGGACAACGAATTTGTATTTAAAAGGCACCTAAACAATGTGTTAAATGGCGATATCGATCTGAAGAGTAAAATTTATTAATCAATTGCTGGTGTCGCAGGACCATTGAGTATTTTTTTAATTATTTTAAAAGCTCCTCCTCCTTTCCGATATTCAAAGCAAAACCAAGGTCGTGGTCTAAATTACTTCGTGAAATAAATATATTACTGGCTATTCTTGGAAGCCAACAAGTTGTCTTTTTCACAAAAAAATAATTCCAAATTTGTACTTTTTGATCACTTTGGTGAAGAGAAGAACGCAATCTATGATCTATACTGCAGGACAGACTGAACCCTTGCCGTTCGATATCGCTCGTATATCAGATCCATATGTCCAAATTATCTTACTTATTTATTTATTTGCACACTGTATGAGCTTTTGGCGAAACTGCATTTTGCACTCAATTCTGAGTATTTATATATTCTTGAGTCGATCTGTTCCTCTATATCTCAAAACTATCTAAGGGAAATCTATCTTTGAAGGAAATCCCTGCATTGATCGAAGCGCTAGTTCATCTTGAAGACTGTATAAACTTAGGGGAGGGTGGGAGTCCTAAGTGAAGTTAACCTTTTCCATGTTGAATATTATAGAGGAATCAAGGAGCAAATTAAGCTGAGCGTTTGAAAACAGGCAATTAGGAACCCAGCAAGTGCAGCGAATATCATCTTCGTGATCTTGTATCCGTAAGTATTCTCTGAAATTAACATTCTGAAAATGATCCCAATCAACTTAACTGAACTGTGCGTTGTGTTTTCCAATTTCAATCCAATTTGGGCCAGTGGGTCGGCCATGTGGTCGAATACGGGTGCAGCCCGTGTGCAGCGAGAGATCAACACGGCTATGCACTTGAGGAGCACAGGCGGAGAGACGACGGAGCGTGGATTTAAGCTCTGGCTAGTCGATCAGTCCTGGTCGAACCTATGTGTCGAGATTCACGGACCACCGGACTCTCCGTACGAGGGTGGAGTGTTCGTTGTTAAGATCTTGGTGCCCGATACCTATCCGGTCGTTCCGCCGCAGGTTGAATTTCGGACGCGCATCTGGCATCCGAACATTTCGCCGGAATCGGGCGCCATCAGCCTAGACATACTCTGGAAGGGTTGGTCGCCCGACATGTCGATACGCACCATCTTGATGACCGTCAGGAACATCATAGCCAACCCGGATATGGGGACACCCTTCGACGACGACGTGGCCCGCCAATACATCCATAAGCACGAGCTGTTTGTGCGCACGGCAAAGCACTGGACCAACCGCTATGCCAACGGACCCAACATTATTCCCGAGTTCGATGAGAAGATCCAAGCCCTCAAGGACCTGGGCATGTATGAGTGCTTGGCTCGTTCCATACTCTCCAAAAAGGACTGGGACGTGGGCAAGGTCTCCCACAACTTCTTAACGATTAAGTCTCAGCACGAAAATTGAGCTTAGCTACGAACCACAACAAATTCAGCTCTTCAGGGATCCATTCAGTTTTGTCAGTAAATCCATACTTCAAGGACAGCTCAATCTGCCAGAAAATTTATTCGAATTCAAAATCAACAATCCCCAATAGTCCAGAAGGAATAGTCCCCACTGTACATCTAAGTCCAGCATAATATTTGTTTTTTATTTTGAATTCCATCAATAGTCGACAGGGACCCACACTTTCAGGATGAGTAGTCATCGAGGAATCACACATAAGAACATCTAGAGCTGTCTGTCGATAGGCCACAAGAAACCAGAATACTATTTAATTTAAGTCCACTGTTTAGCCTTATATGTGCACTCCATCCCAAGAGCACGGGACAAACTACGACCTGTAGTTCAGTCGCTTGTTCTTAACATGAAATACAGCGCACAAATAAACACACCGATCGCAGGCCATCCCCCCAAACCCAACCCCAACCAACCGAAAAAATGCTGAGTCTAATTCTTTTTAATTTGTTTATTTTGTTTTTAATCTTCCAATGAAAGGCCTGTAAGTCTAGAGACCACTTCTGAGCCCCACTTAAAGGCGTCACCGGCATAGTTCACAAGTCATTCTCGTTGTCTATGATAATGTGCAGATTGCTGATTACGATTCGTGGAATGTGGGGACTCCAGATTCCAGAGAAAGGCTCTGCAGGGGCTGGTAAAGCGGATACGGGCTCGGATGTGTATGTGTATGTGTCGATATGCGCCATGCATTAATCCTCAAGTGGTCTCGCTCTCCTGCTTTTTCTGCTGTGGTTGTGACTGTGGTGCTCCACTTGCACACATTTATCCTCTTGAGAAGGATGAGCGCCAGCTTACTGCACTGGCCCTCAAAGGAGGGCTTCAAGTAGGTCTCAATCTTTACGAGTGGATTTAGTCGGTTAATCAGCTACAGCAGCTCCAGCAGCTCCGGTAAGGGCCACAGGTGTAATAGATGGCAGAACGCCACGCCCCTCCAGTAGCAACTCAAAACCATTGTTTCTCTCAGTGCATGCCACACCCTGTGGCCACTCTCTATCCCCGTTCCTCTCTGTGGAAACTTAATTGCATTTGCCAGGACATCCACACGCATCTCCATATTGATTGAGATTATGTTGCTGCATCAGAACTGAAAATTCTGCGAGCGTCGCACGTCGACCACTGCTCCGAGCACTCCTCCTGCCCCAACCGCAACCGCCGGTGCACAATGAAAGCTTTCAGATGGAATTCAATTATGAAAACAGCGTGGGAGAATCGAGGACGAAGCGCAGCCCATTGGGGATGCGTTGGTGGCGAGTCCACATATCTGTACGTATAAATAGAGCTTTAGTTATAGATACGCCAGCACATATGTACGTGCGAATTATGATACGTATATTTACAGAGGCCCCCGAGCGCAGCTGGGGATGTGGAATGAAAACAAACAAAAAATATAAAATATATGTATGTAGGTTCGGGTCTTGTAGGTACAGTTGTGCCATCGGCGGCTAATCAATTTCCAGATTCTTAAGACTGTGCGCGACCGAGGCGGCGGTGGATGTGCCAGATCTTCGGCTGCTGCTGTTGTTGGACACCTTCTTGGCCTTGTTCAGCTGCCAGTTCTGGCCATCCATCAGATAGTCCCTAAAAGAATACATGAGCGGAGGAGAGTAGCCCTTAAATAAGACAGAAAGCGGCAGAAATGGTGACGTGGCCCACTCACCGCTGCTCCTTGAGCAATTGCATCCACTGTTGCTTCAGCTCGGACATTTTGCCAGCCTGGCCGCCGTACTCCTCCGGCAGCATGGAACGCGGAAAGTGCTTAAAGGGCGTCTCCGCATTGGGCAAATGGAAGTGGATCAGCTTGAAGACCTCACCCTTGATGAACGGCTTGACCACGGTGAGCACCTTGTCCAGGTAGGAGGGACAGTTCAGCACATGGACCTCCTTGAGCCGCACAGGATGCGCCTCCTGCACGAACTTCATGTACACCCGCAGGGAGCTGAGCACCGTCTTGGTCAGATGCCGCAGCGTATACCCGGCCATGTCAAAAATGGGTATCTCTCCGTCCGACAGCCGCGCGTCGTTCTCTGTGGCAAAGCGGCAGTCGGCCACCATAAAAAATACCTTGATGCCGGCCGTAAAGTTGAACTGTGTGAAAAGTGTGGGAGGTAAGATCAAGACGGAGTGGGTGCTTTTTGGGATTACCTTGTCCGCATCGAAGTCGATCAGTCGGTAAAAGAGCAGCTTATTGTTCTCCGGGGTCAGGCCGGGCAGCGGCACCAGGTCGCTAAGAAAGACAGACAGAAAGAGAGAGAGAGAGAAAGAGAGCGCAATGAAAGAAGGAAAACCGGTTACCGGCTGGGGCATGGGCATGGGGCATGGGCTTGGGCCTGGGCCTGGGCCTATGCCTGCATCGCATGCAATTTTCGAGTACTCACGCCACTTGCAACAGCTGCTGGGAGCTCGCATCCAACGGATCGCGCTCAATGAAGATCTGGGCATGCTTGTTGCGCAGTCCATAATTGTGCTCCATCAGGCGCTGTGTGGCAGCCAAATCGCCGCGCGTCGTGTGCAGAAAGCGGCGCAGCAGCATGCATGCTGCACAGAGACACAGACACAAAGACAGCGACAACAGAGAGGGTTAGGGCAAGGAGCCAATTTGGCTGGAAGCCAGTTATGCAACTGATTGCATTTTTCACTGCACTCACATATATTCGGCGGTAGCTGCGACTGCGTCTTGATCCACTCCTGCAGCTCTAGCACTCGCTGTACCATCACCTGATCCTCATCCTTTTCCTGGTTCTTGTGCACCATGTTCCGTTATATAGCCGTTATAGAGCAGAGTTGCTAATCGAATGGGAAGTTTCGAAGTTCTATTTTCCGATTCGAAGTTCCGTTTCGGTTTCGCTGGAGAGCACTGGAGAGGCGCACCTGTGCGACGCTAATTCGCGACTGCAACTGATTGCTGATTGGGTCTCGGTTGGAGGCTTTCCTCAAGTCTCTGGACTGGCTCTGCTGACGCTGACGCTGACGCTGTCGCTGCTCTGCTCTGCTCTGCGGCGGCCACTGCTTACAGAGCCCTGTTCGAACTTTGTGATCGAAGCATGTCTGCGCATACATATGTACAAGTGTACATGTACACATGTTAGTCTCTCTGTGTGTGTGCTTCTTCTATTGCTTATTCCCCATGCGATTGCGGTGGATTGTGCAACAACTCCCGAGTGGTGTCAGAAGGTCAGGCGCCGCCCCCTGTTCTACGTGGGGGCTCAGCACTCCCTAAGGGCCAGGCCAGCCATGTTTGGGAGTGTTTCACAGCTTAATCGCGACATTGGCAAACAGTTTTCGGCGACTCGATGCGACTCGATGCGAGGCGAACCGCCGTGCTCCACTTGTTATGCTGCCGCCGCTTGTCTGCTGGATGGCTGGCCGGCTGGCTGGCCGGCTGGCTGGTCTGGTCTCCGGCGTACGTGTTTCGCAAGTTAAACTATTTAAAAGAAGAAAAAAACATGAATTAAAACAAACACAAAAAAACTGTCAAAAAGAAGAAGCAGCAGCGAAAGCGGGACAAAGCAGAGACTTCGATACACTCGCATTCGTTGTTGTTTCTGTGCAGAACGCGTAGACGACACAAAACAAAAGAAAGAAAGGCGAGGTCGACGCCTTACATACCCTAGCAGTTCCCGATCCATGGGCTCCATAGTTTTTTGATGATACTCATACATAGATTGAATGATCCACGAAGAAAATTGTACAGCCATACGATTGTGCAGATGCGTGATAGTGCGTGATAGTTTTGGGACTTTGAAGGTCCATTCATCCCATCTTCCTAGCTTCCAATGTATATATAGAAAGAGCCATTTTTTGGTCAAAGATTAGAGTAGACTTCTTTATAATATAGGTCTGGAATCTAAGCCTGGCAGCTCTGACTCTTACATTGCCGGCAAGGAAGCGCAAAGAGCGAAATTTAGTGGAATATTTTCCAAAGAAATAGACAGAAGGCAGTGGATCGATGGACCAAAAGCGAGCCGGCTCGAACAGGAAACCTTTTCGCAAATCGGAATCGGATGTAAGTACATCTGCGCAGAATCGTAACACCCTCTGCGCGGTCACGTAGTATACAACAATTGAGTCGGCTGAGTCGTGTTGGATCGCATTACCAAGTTATTTAGCGACCCTTTAACGGAGCTGTAAACTGTAAGCTGGTCGCACACATGACCTTGGCCATGGAACATAGACGCACTGGCGTAGCGTACGTACCGTCGCATAACCTCAAATAAAGCCGACACAGGTGTTAAATGACCAATCAAAATGCTGTTTCAAGTTCCATTCAAATTCGTGGCTGTACGGAGCTGTGATCATATGAGGCAGCAGACGTTCTTGGCCCCGCGACCTTTGCTTTTGCTACTGAATCATTTGCCAATATAATTAGCCGAGAACACTTAGACGCAGCGTACCTAATAAAGCCCAGGCAGCACATCGGATTTTATTGGATCGGTTATGGTCGAAGCCAAAGTGTTCTACGTTTCGTGTTACCAATTTACTAATACATACATGTATTGCCAGCATATTTTGGCAAAGAATATGATGATCCACGAAAATTGTAAAATGTGTAACCCGCGCAAAATTCCCATAAAAAGAAAGTAAAGGAAATCTTAAAATGGGGCCTTTGTTTTCTTTCGCTACTTCTTGCAGTATTCCACACATACACACATGCACTAGCATTTATCCAAATCATATGAATATTATAGTACATTTTTGTCAGCCCTTTTCCTCATCCATTCCATCTGCCAAATGGCGATGTGGCAACACTGTCCCGTCGTCGTATTGGCAAATATTCGGCAACTGCCGCACCGCACTAATGCACTAATGCTGCAACGCATTACCAAAGATATCTGAGATCTGAGTGTACTATTGAGCAAGCTGCATTGTGGACGGACTGTACTGTGGATGGGTCAGCACAAAAATCAAGCCATAATTAAACGCTGGCAATTGCGACACACATACTAGACAGTTTATGTGCAGTCACTGCAAATACATATTCACATACATACGTTCATATATTTATTCTCTTTTGTTTAATTTTGTGGTCTTTTTTTCTGATTTCAAACTGCCACTTACATGGCGCCATCTGTGCCATCTGCTCACGCCACCATGTAGACATCGCAGCTTTCATGTAGTACCAACAGATGGCGATACCTGGGCAGGTGCAGAATTAATGGAAAAAACACGCTGAAGTGCCGGATTGGGGCGTCTCCGAACATCCCAAAACTCAAAATGATTACATATACATATGTATGTATATTGTATTTTGTGGTATTATATTATATAATCATATATTTGACCGCTGCTTAGCCAAAATATGGCTTACAGAAAAAAACCAGTATTTCAAAGATATGCAAATCCAAATCTTCGCAGGGCTCTATCTCAGACAAATAGGGCGAGATCGGCGAAGGACCTACTGTCCTAGGATCGCGAGGATCCAGACTGTCGAACGGCATCAAAATTTCGACTTCGAAAATGGGGCCGATTTTTTGAAAATTTAATGATGTAACCATCATGATTTTTTGCGAAAATCGTGAAAAAATTGATGTCCGTTTTCCTGAAGGCAGTCGATTTGCAGGACTCTCCCGATCAGGACAAGACATGCCACGCCCAGATCGGCCGCTGCTTAGCGTAAATATGGCTTACAGAAAAAACCAGTATTTCAAAGATATGCAAATCCAAATCTTCGCAGGGCTCTATCTCAGACAAATAGGGTGAGATCGGCGAAGGACCTACTGTCCCAGGATCGCGAGGATCCAGACTGTCGAACGGCATCAAAATCTCGACTTCGAAATGGCGTGCCACGCCCAGATCGGCCGCTGCTTAGCGTAAATATGGCTTACAGAAAAAAACAGTATTTCAAAGATATGCAAATCCAAATCTTCGCAGGGCTATATCTCAGACAAATAGGGCCAGATCGGCGAGGGACCTACTGTCCCAGGATCGCGAGGATCCAGACTGTCGAACGGCATCAAAATCTCGACTTCGAAATGGCGTGCCACGCCCAGATCGGCCGCTGCTTAGCGTAAATATGGCTTACAGAAAAAACCAGTATTTCAAAGATATGCAAATCCAAATCTTCGCAGGGCTATATCTCAGACAAATAGGGCCAGATCGGCGAAGGACCTACTGTCCCAGGATCGCGAGGATCCAGACTGTCGAACGGCATCAAAATCTCGACTTCGAAATGGCGTGCCACGCCCAGATCAGCCGCTGCTTAGCCAAAATATGGCTTACAGAAAAAAACCAGTATTTCAAAGATATGCAAATCCAAATCTTCGCAGGGCTATATCTCAGACAAATAGGGCCAGATCGGCAAAGGACCTACTGTCCCAGTATCGGGAGGATCCAGACTGTCAAACGGCGTCAAAATCTCGACTTCGAAAATGGGGCCGATTTTTTGAAAATTTAATGATGTAACCATCATGATTTTTTGCGAAAATCGTGAAAAAATTGATGTCCGTTTTTCTGATAGCAGTCGATTTGCAGGACTCTCCCGATCACGACAAGACATGCCACGCCCAGATCGGCCGCTGCTTAGCGTAAATATGGCTTACAGAAAAAACCAGTATTTCAAAGATATGCAAATCCAAATCTTCGCAGGGCTATATCTCAGACAAATAGGGCCAGATCGGCAAAGGACCTACTGTCCCAGTATCGGGAGGATCCAGACTGTCAAACGGCGTCAAAATCTCGACTTCGAAAATGGGGCCGATTTTTTGAAAATTTAATGATGTAACCATCATGATTTTTTGCGAAAATCGTGAAAAAATTGATGTCCGTTTTTCTGATGGCAGTCGATTTGCAGGACTCTCCCGGTCACGAAATGGCGTGCCACGCCCAGATCGGCCGCTGCTTAGCCAAAATATGGCTTACAGAAAAAAACCAGTATTTCAAAGATATGCAAATCCAAGTCTTCGCAGGGCTCTATCTCAGACAAATAGGGTGAGATCGGCGAAGGACCTACTGTCCCAGGATCGCGAGGATCCAGACTGTCGAACGGCATCAAAATTTCGACTTCGAGAATGGGGCCGTTTTTTTGAAAATTTAATGATGTAACCATCATGATTTTTTGCGAAAATCGTGAAAAAATTGATGTCCGTTTTTCTGATGGCAGTCGATTTGCAGGACTCTCCCGGTCACGACATGGCATGCCACGCCCAGATCGGCCGCTGCTTAGTCAAAATATAGCTTACAGAAAAAAACAGTATTTCAAAGATATGCAAATCCAAATCTTCGCAGGGCTATATCTCAGACAAATAGGGCCAGATCGGCAAAGGACCAACCGTCCCAGGATCGCGAGGATCCAGACTGTCGAACGGCATCAAAATTTCGACTTCGAGAATGGGGCCGTTTTTTTGAAAATTTAATGATGTAACCATCATGATTTTTTGCGAAAATCGTGAAAAAATTGATGTCCGTTTTTCTGATGGCAGTCGATTTGCAGGACTCTCCCGGTCACGAAATGGCGTGCCACGCCCAGATCGGCCGCTGCTTAGCCAAAATATGGCTTACAGAAAAAAACCAGTATTTCAAAGATATGCAAATCCAAGTCTTCGCAGGGCTCTATCTCAGACAAATAGGGTGAGATCGGCGAAGGACCTACTGTCCCAGGATCGCGAGGATCCAGACTGTCGAACGGCATCAAAATCTCGACTTCGAAATGGCGTGCCACGCCCAGATCGGCCGCTGCTTAGCCAAAATATGGCTTACAGAAAAAAACCAGTATTTCAAAGATATGCAAATCCAAGTCTTCGCAGGGCTCTATCTCAGACAAATAGGGTGAGATCGGCGAAGGACCTACTGTCCCAGGATCGCGAGGATCCAGACTGTCAAACGGCGTCAAAATCTCGACTTCGAAAATGGGG